GTTGTGCGGTATCCCACTCAGGGATTATATATACTTCCGCGGACTGTGTGTTTATCCACGGATGGAATGAGCCTTGTTGAAGATTTCCACAAAACGCGTAATGCGAGGGACTAAAATCGATTGCCTAAATTGCAAAGAGGCAGAGGCAATTGCAGAGGATTTACCCGAAAACTTTTCCCCAAAATATGCAATTCATTGTCCTGACATAATAACCTCGATCTGACTCGCGGCTTGAGAGCTTGAGAAGTTACATGTGCGCGTGTATGTATGTATGTGTGTATGTACGTATGTATGTATGTATGTATGTATGTATGCATGTATGTTCGTGGGTGTGTATGTATGTATGCAGGTATTCATGTATTCATGTAGATGTAGGTGCGTGCGTATGCATGTGTGAATACTATGTCGTACACATGTAAACATAATGTACGCATGCATATCACGTACTGTTTGCATGCATGCATGCATGCGTTTATCACAGCCCACCACGCCAATGCGATTATTAGGTTACTTCGTCCCACGCTAAAAGACATGTGAATGTGAAAGACAGTACGCGCGCATCAGTGGCAGTGGGAAAATCAAATACGAGACTATAACTGATGACGGCCTTCGCCTACACCACGGCCATGCGGTCAAAGAGTATGTAAGCGGTGTGATAAACATGCACATGATTTGTACATCAGTTAATTGTTATGAACTCCCGAGATCAATGTCAGGCTTCAACCTGTCCGATCTCGTAACAAACTTCGCGGCTTCCACCGAATTACATTCAACCGGGGCGCTTTGGGGCTGACCGCGGCTCTCAGCGGGTGTGCTCCAACCAGGGCCCTCCAGGGCTGACCTGGAGCATCTCAGCCGGTGTGCTCCAGCCAGGGCGCTCCGGGGCTGACCGCGACTCTCTCAGCCGGTGTGCTCCAGCCGGGGCGCTCCGGGGCTGACCTGGACCATCTCGGCTGGGGCACGTGGCTGGCCAATCAGCGCCGCCATGTGAATGCAGGCAGGGGTCAAATTTGATCTTAAGCAAGTCCAATGGACGCTTGAAGCTGCTAACTCGTGCATCATAGCCGAGCTTATGCCCAAGGAAGAAGAAGAGAGTAAAACTACAGTCCACAAGTCAGAGCAAAACCTGCATAGACAGCAACAGATCAGAGCAAGACCTGCAGAGACAGCAACAGATCAGAGCGAGACCTGCAGAGACAGCAACAGATCAGAGCGAGACCTGCAGAGACAGCAACAGATCAGAGCAAGACCTCCGGAGACCTTAATAGGCCGGAGTAAGACCTCCGGAGACCGCAACAGGCCGGAACAAGACCTCCGGAGACTGCAGCATATTGGAGAAAGGCCTGAGACTGCAGCAGATCAGAACACGACCTTCTGTGGGGCTTTCGGCGGAACGTCCGCGATGGCTGCCGCACATGGCATGGAAACATAATCCGGCGATATTGTGAAGAAAAATTGCATTGGAGAGCCGTTATGCAGAGGCTGATGAGATTTTACCAGGTATACTCTTCAGATCGGGCCGCTTTGCGTCAACTCCATTCCAGACGTAAGCTGACAATTGCATCCAGTCACCCTCAGCCAGTCGGGCAGCATTGGGCAGGACATCATGTATCCAGTCACCCTCAGCCAGTCGGGCAGCATTGGGCAGGACATCATGTATTCAGTCACCCTCGGCCAGTCGGGCAGCATTGGACAGAACATTATGTATTCAGTCATCCTCGGCCAGTCGGGCAGCATTGGACAGAACATCATGCATTCAGTCACCCTCGGCCAGTCGGGCAGCATTGGGCAGGGCATCAGTGACGTTATACAGAACATCACTGCACCGTTATCCCCATCTGTAGTCCTTTGTCCGTGCGGCACTTGCCGCGTGCCGCTCAAAGTCCTGTTTGTTAGTACAGCTCGAGGCCGTGGCTGCCCCTCCCCCGCCCTCCCCCCCCCCCCCCAAGTTATTCATAGTGCAGCGTATAGTGAACGGCTGCATCGTTCGATTCGGCTCATCGCCAGGTCTTCAGCTGGGTCGTTCAGTGTCATTCGATGCCATTGGCCTGTTCCGATGCGTTGCAGTCCACTGCTGATTTTTTCAAGTGACGGCTTGTTTTTATTTACGTAACCCGAACTGTCCTACAAGCGTGCATGATGTCAAAGCCGGAAGTACCCGTGGTACCGTGAACACCTCATGGCTGTAGCCACCGAGCCTGGCAGACAAGCTATGTGTGCCGCAGTACGCGCTGTCCTGGCGGTGGTCGGCTGGCGGGCGCGGCGACGGCCACGGCAGGCGCCGCTCGTGATCGGATGATCGGCGGCCCGGACGGACCCGGCGTCGGCCCCGAAGCTGGCCTTGGTGCCCCGCTGGACAGGAGCCAGCGCCGCTGCCCGCAGCCCGCCGCCCCCGGACGGCTCGTGCGCCACCGCAGCGTGCGCCGGCGGCTGGTATCGAACGGACGCCGGTGGAACGGTCTTCTGCTCAGCAAACCAGGTCCTTTTTATTGGTTGCCGATTTCCAGTGAAACCACGTCATCCCATCATTGTCAGAAAGACATTTAAGCAGACACCCACTAAGCAGACCTTATTTGGCACAAATAAACATGTAGAAAGTATTTTAAGTTGTCATACATCTTTGGAAATGTCGCAATATGTCCTGTTGCACGGCATACAGGCATCTGAATCACTGTATTAAAGTGCTCTGTCTTAGAAGTTACGTCCAACGTTATGGAAGTTTTGGTCGCTGATGATTCTAGTCAACAGCTCTTCATCTGAGGCGCGCTGGTAAAGCAATGATCTCTTTCCCCCGTTTTCCGGGACAAGTCTGGGATGAAATGAAGGAAGTATTTCAATTTTAGGACCAATAGAGAGGGCAGCTGAGCAGATGACAAACATGATTAATGCACATCTTAACATTTGATATGTACAGGAAACACTTGTAATACTATATTGCGTTGTTGATGACAATAGGGCTATACTGACGAACACAAGAATGCAATATCTTGATGCTGTTATTCGTGATAAACTGATATCCGTTGGAAAGCACGAAACTGTTACTGCATATCTGCTTTGTTTTGGCAGTAATTAAGCATCCACCACTCAAGTTGAAATAAAGGCGTGGTCGTGACGAGGCTATACCAATATCGCACCGAACCTTTCTCTTCTCTCCAGTGGGCTGAACAAGCATGCACATAGCCATGACATTTGGACTTTCAGCTATGAACGATATCCGGGTGTCGTTGTGTACAAGCATGACACCCTGACTAAATAACTTTTGCTATCCGTCCGATATAGACATGTCGCCGAAATGTCAACGCATCTATGCCTCCATTCTCCTGCTTTTTCTCCGAAGAATAAGGCTATTACTATTGTGCTGTCTATTCAGTTACTTGTTATCATCGACAACACCGGCATATGCATTTCCTTTCTGATTCTGTTGCTACGACAGACGCATTACCATACATGTGTAGTAATCGATAGAGAACAACAAGGGAATCTTTGTTGTCTGCGCACGTTGCCACTCAGGCATTCCCTAGTTCGAGGGAAAACTGTTTTAGAAGTCTGCAGGAGTTCCATGCGTTGCAGAAAGTTTCTTAAGGCATTAAGCAGATCCGTTGGGAGGACTTTGACCGCCTTGGCGATTTGCTTCGTCTTTCGACGACGATGTGATGTAGTAGGTTTTAACTTCGGTGCCAGGGTTATGCTCTAGTAGGCTTCCAAAGCGGTTCCAGCGATTTAGTAGGTTTCAGTGGCAGTTCCGGAAAGGACGCGGAGGCATAGTCGACTGCACATTTTTGTAATCCGATAATCGATTGGGAACGGATCGACTGTTAACGAGGGGAGGCCAGATGTGTCCAGGTGATGATCGGTATTCCATTGAATGCTACAAGAATGACGGGATGACAGGGCGTGCGTCACAGCTGCAGCTGCGGCAGCTGAACCCTGGGCGTGAGGTGGATATTAGAGCTGAGCATTCGGGCGTCACGCCAGTATACATTGGCATATGAATGTCGTTCATGGCTGCAAATTTAAAGTAGGTTATCGCAACTGGTTTGCTAAAGGTAGTACTGCACATTTATATGGGGTTTGAACTGAAATAGCCATCTTCAGGACCTTTCAGTGTTGTTCACAATCCCGCCCTTCTGAAGACTTCAGCCAATCTAGTTTTTGACCTACATGCACGCAAAAATGGTGAAAGGCATAACGGAGAGTATTTCAAACTCACCTTGGCATTCATGACGTCAAAATAACGTCATTCAAATCCTGCCACTCCTTGACCCATGCGGCGATCAAGGCCATAACAAATATAACTGTCGAGGCACTCATAAAGGGCGTTGGTGGACGCAATTCCCAGACGTAACGGCCGTCAGTTCACTCTCAACCAATGTTGTGCAAAGTACAATGACGTAACCAAGCCATGGCGCATTGAGCATAGCTACTGAACATTAAATTGAGATGTCTAGAGCGGTCTTTTCCACTTCACTAGTATACCGATAATTATAAGCGAACTTGTCTCATCATATCTGATGCTTGCTTCAGTATCTTCGAGCGTAAAACATTCGTTTGAGGCCTGAGTGGAATGCGACCTTCCCCGCAAGGTTAATGCTCCATTAGGAAGTACAAAGCTTTTCACTTGCACAACCGACACACTAGTTTCCCTTTTTGTGGGGCAAGTGGGTGTGACTCAAGGTGCCTGGTACATTATTTGTGATAATGACGAAGGCTCAGTGTCCGATGCGTGGATTTGTGATGCTGGCTGAACGAGGCTTTATTCTCGGCTATCAAGCCAATTCAAAATTTAAGTCAGACATGATCAAAATGACCCCGGCTCTATCTAGGAAATTGTATTTACATCATGATGGGTGTGCACACGCCCCAATGGTTGGTCACCACGGGCAGCGCAAACCAGAAACGACTTTAGGTAAAACTCGGCCTTACAGACAATCCACCGTTTCTGCGCACGGCAAAGAAAGGGCTTCGTCACAATAACTAGTGGACGACCTGTTCTGTTGCAGGTCTCGGCGGATGTGACCACGCTGCAAGTCATCAGTTAGACCAGCCGCGGCCGCTGCTCTGCCCTGGCAAGGTGGTCCACGTTAGTGTGCGGGGCGTCACGTGGCCCGGTGTCCAGGGAATTCGGGATGTCCAAGAACGGCGTGCTGGCAAAGGAGCCTGTCTCGGACGGAGCGGTGGACTACCAGAGACTCATCCAGCTGTTCGAATGTCCTGTGTGCCACGAGTACATGAGGCCACCCATACACCAGTGCAAGAAAGGACACGTTATCTGCCAGAAATGCCGACCCAAGGTTAAGGGCATTTGTCCGTTGTGTAAGCAGCTGGTCGCCAATCAGACCAATCTTATGATGGAGAAGATCAGCACTCTCATCAAGTTTCCATGCGTCTACGCGCCGAAGGTAAGCATAGCATGGGTTTATGGACATGGTCGTCGCGTTGACGTCGTTACCAAGCAATCTTGGCAGCGTCTTCTCTGGGAAAACCTGTCGCCATCTGTTAGTCCGTGAGCTTCGTCCCGAGCGATCGTCCGCTTCATGCCAACTTTTTGTTATGACCTTTCGGAAAGGTCATGCTAAACTCAGCCAACTACATTGGCTGCTAAGTGTCACCGGCCTAATTCCCTGCAGGGCAGCGCGGGGAGTTTGAGAAATTACTTTGAATCAGACGAAATGCCGTGGCTGGAGAAATTACATAGAATCAGACGAAATGTCACGGCCCAGTGTGACCTATTGCATGATTAAACCAGAACGCCACGGACTTGGATGAAGTGGTCATTCACCTTGAGGACTAACCACCACGCCATGGCTGCCTGGTAGCACAGTTTTTGCTCTTGGAACGGGATCCCTGACTACGTCTACGAAGTAGCAACGTGCGAGTGAGGAGACACGTATATGAGCGCATACTTGTCGCCGGCTCAGACGAACGGCTCTCTTTACCACTTTACAGCCGTTTCCAGTGGGCTTTAACGCTGAGTCACGACTCGACAACTCCGCGGTGCTGGTGCGGCTGTGGTCTGTGCTCCCCACGCGCCCGCCAGGTCCCTCCCGCTGCACGGCCAGCGGCCAGCGCTGCGTCATGTGCCAGTCCCAGGGCTACCGTGCTGTACTCCCATGGCGCCAGTTTGTTTTCAGAAGCGCCGGCAGCGGCGATACGACCGAGAATTGGCAAGCAGCTCCGATATAACCCTCAGATGGTGCCGGCTCTAAGGGGAGCGACGCCGCCTGTCTGCGAGTCCGGTCTAGACACACACTCCGTCTTGTTCGAGGAGATGAGCCTCGTGCCCCCCCCCCCTCCCCCTCCCCCCTCTCGAGCCTTCTCACGGGGGTCGTCCCGTCAGCATTGGCCAGGCGGCGCACGTGTTGGGCACGCTCTTGGGGCAGCGTGGAGCGGACGTTCATGGCGCCAAATGTGTGACCCGCATTTGCCGGGTCCATGGAGCACCGGTGTTTTGTTTGTCACGCCATTTGTCATCGCTGACGGACCGTGCACGTGATAGGTCGGTGTTTTCAAATGGCGTGTGTGGCGTGTGTGGCCCGACAGCTGGTGCATTGCCGGCATTCTGGTCCAAAACAGGCTCACTGGGACAAACGACGCTGGCCGCCAGCGTGCCCACCGGGCCACCACCGCAAGCTGAGCACGAATCACTCTCACCATGTCTTGCTGCATACGTGTAGCTTGCAGCGCTTCTTTTATTGATAACAAGATACGCAGTAACGTCAGTGCAATCCACTTCATTTAGGCATGGAAAACAACGTTTTGGTTCTGTTGGCAGAATGTTAGATGCCTCATCGTGTTCAATGGGGCGACTGAGCGCACGTGTCACGCTTGCTCTGCCTATATCCCAAGACCTTCAGACTACAGATGAGGGAGAGTAGCGGGCTTAAAAGTGAAGCGAGTCGTGCGGACGGTTGGCGGTCTTGGTGACCGTCCGGTGCTCCCTCTAAGTGCGGTGGCAACCCGAGGCCCAACCATCGCGAAATAGCGATCGACTGAAGGTCCTATTTCCGTAATATCAGGGGAGAATATCTGCCCTCTTGCGTTATGAAGCACAAACAAATGTTATTCGGAAGGAACTGAACGGCGACCAAGCCTGTTGACAACCTCGTGCTCCGAGTCCATGGCACCGATCAACATCAAATCTTACCGTTCGATGCCCCGAAGTCGATAACCTTTTCCTTTCCGAACATAGTGACTTTGGGTCGGGTCAAAGGTTACCAAAACCGATCAAAGCCACCAAAATTAGCTCCAGACAACTCTATGCTCCGAGCTTATGGGACCGACCAGTATGAAACCTTCTCCAATCGATGCGCCGTAGTCGATACCTCATCGCGCCCCAGGTGAAGATTTCATGCTGATCGGTGCGTGGGGTTGCCTTCAGCCAGATTTTGTGGTTTGGACGTTTTCGGAAACCTTTGATCGGACTGAAGATCACCATTTTCAGGAAAGAATGGGGCTTCGACCATCGCGCATCGTTTGGTGAAGGTTCCATGTTAATCGGTCCCATATGCTCGGAGCATGGGGTTGTCTGCAACCTATTTCCCTTTTTTGGTGAACTTTGGCCTGAACCAAGGTCACCATGCTCTGTAACCATCTGGGTAGGTTATCAACCAAGCGGCATCAATTGGTGGAGTTTTGATGTCGGTTGGCGTTATGGGCTCGGCGAATGGGGCTGTCAACAGGTTTGGTTGTCTGCTTAGTCTTTCCCGCGCAATTCGTGGTGGAATTTTGCATACCTTGCACAACGTTGGTTGATAGCCAACTGACGGCCGTTATATCTTGGAGTCGTGTTCACGAACGCAAGATACGAAAGAATCGACAATTACTTTTTTACCTTGAACGCGTGGACAGTGAAATGACAGAATTTCACTGGCATTATTATGGCGTCATTGACACCCGGGTAACCTTGAAATAGTCGGCACGAAATAGTCTGCTTATCTTTGGGGGCATGTAGTTCAGAAATCAAAGGATTTTGCGTGTTAACAAGGGTAGGGCTGTGCACTGCAGCAAATGATCTTTAAGATGGCTATTACAGTGTAAAACCCCATGCAAATGCGGAACAATCACTGTAAAGAGCACATCATGGAAAAGCGTGCCTTGGCTGGCAATAAAGACCAAAGTATCAAACGTGCTCGGATTGAATATAATGATGTAAAGACCAAGGCTCAAATGCAGACGCATGGGTACCAAACTGAGTATGAAACAGAGACCGATGTCTCGCAATATTGGCTCATTTGCTATGTTTGGTGTAGGTTATTCAGCTGCATTAGCGAGAAACATTAGTCACATAGATAAGACAGTAGTATTAGCCTTATCCCTCGGAAAAACCAGAAGAGCAGAGGTGTAATTAGATTTCAACTAACTTAAATATATGATATAATTACTATGCAATATATATATATATATATATATATATATATATATATATATATATATATATATATATATATATATATATATGTATTGATGTACTAAAATAATCTAACTATTTCTACATTCTCCTAGTTTTTTTTCGAGGAATGAGGCTAATACTACTGTCTTCGCTATGTTTGGTGCCTTAGTAATGCATATCTGGATTCCAAGCGGTTTTTCAAGCTAACCTCATTCTTTGACTCGATTCCTTCGCAACTACCGGTTCCTGCACACTTTTTTCTACTCACTTGTGATCGATTTTCACACGTTGTTTTCTTGTGTATTTCTTCGTTGCCATATTGGAATCACTTCACCCCGCACCTTTCTGAAACAATACCAATTAGTTTATGGCCGTTTATTGACGACGCGATCATAGATAAGACAGAAGTAATAGCCTAATTCCTCGCAGGAAAACAGGAAAATGGAGATAAAGGTCTTTCCTGGTTTTCCTCCCAGGAATAAGGTTATTACCACTGTCTTAGTATGCATAGTGTGCATAATGTTTCTCACAGGTTCACTTAACAGCTTTAGACTTAATCACCTTTTTGGGGGGATCGGGTTCGCAAGTCTTGTGAACACGCCAGAGCACCAAATAAACCTTTGCGACGTGACTGTCTTTGCCGTGGGTACGCATTTCAGCACATGGGATACATGTAAGTCATAGAAGTGAACGCCAATGGCAAAAACAGACTGCAGCTCCATGATGATGCAGGCTGATATTAGTTCCTAGAATGGAGCCGTTTTTCGCAACGACTGATTGATCAGTTGTTACGAGGTACAATACCCATGTTCCAGGAGGCAATCGGAACATTACAAACGCAAGGAAATTACTACACTCCATCTTGAAGTGCGTCATCGTTTCCAACGAGTAATTTTCCCCGGCTATATGCTGATGGGCTGCGTGGACACCCGGAACGGTGCTCGCTTGCTTACCGTTCCTTCCGCACAGCTACATGTTATTTATCGAGGACCACAGTCCAGCGCTGTTTCTTGTATAGAAGTATGCCACGGGCGCAGCGTTGAGTGGCAGATGATACAAATTTGCCAACGTAGCATGACTACCAAACGTCCACTGAAATGATTTGAATAGAAAATTATTTGTTCACCAGGACTTAGTGGTATGAGCGCTGCTTCACCACGCGTTCGAGGCTCCTGAAGGACACAATGACCGATCAGGGCCTCCGATCAAACGATGTCCTTTATGACCACTCGGCTGTGTCTGTCATATGTGCTGTCGCTCTGTATGTGAGGTCTGCGTCTGCTGTCGTCTCTCCACGCCGCAAATCTCTAGTGTGAGGTGTCGGCGTGAGAGCGCTCGGGGTTGCGCTGACGGTGTCGTGGTGTCGGCGTGAGAGCGCTCGGGGTTGCACTGACGGTGTCGTGGTGTCGGCGTGAGAGCGCTCGGGGTTGCACTGACGGTGTCGTGGCGTCGGCGTGAGAGCGCTCGGGGCTGCACTGACGGTGTCGTGGTGTCGGCGTGAGAGCGCTCGGGGCTGCACTGACGGTGTCGTGGTGTCGGCGTGAGAGAGCTCGGGGCTGCACTGACGGTGTCGTGGTGTCGGCGTGAGAGCGCTCTGGGTTGCACTGACGGTGTCGTGGTGTCGGCGTGAGAGCGCTCGGGGCTGCACTGACGGTGTCGTGGCGTCGGCGTGAACGCGCCCGGGGCCTCACTGACGGGACGTCACGTCCTGCTCTGCAGGGCTGCGACGAGCTGGTGCCGCTGCGCGAGAAGAGCCACCACGAGACCACGTGCGCCCGCCGACCGGTGCACTGCGAGTACGCGCGCCGCGGCTGCGGCGCCCTGCTTCCGCTGCGGGATATGACCGGACACGTGCGGCAGTGTCACTTCCGGCCGGCCTGAGCACGCCGCGCGCCACACTCGAAGTCACGCCCGTTCCTGTGTGTCGCTACGAACAGTCGAAAGCCTGGGTATGGCAGACATCTGTCCGGCCCGAAGCCCGGTTGCTATGTACGTCCAAGGTCAGAATCGTGCTGAAGATCGTGAGACTCGTCCAAAGTCTCGAGGCGCATCCAGGCTTGTGAGACTCGTCTAGTGCCACGAGACGTTCTGGTGTCTGATGTCAGGTTGTGAACTGAAGTGTAACAGAATATCACCTACCGGCATGTCGAGGCTTCCGCCAGAGCCTGCTTCGAGAGCAAAACCGTACATCTGGGCGCATTTTAGTCTCGGCTGAACAAACCAGACACTTAGGAATGCCAGTGTGTCTCCATGTTCCGGTGTCCTTCATGAGTGATGTTGCTGACCGGTTTGATAGATTTGTGCTTGCCGGGACTTCAATATATGCACACATTTTATGTCTCACCATGATACAAGACTCACTCACAGGAAAGTCGGAAGTATGAGAACGAAAATTGATAGTCTCGATCGAGAAAATTTGGAGCTACCGTGCATGCATCATTGCACGCTCTTTGTCCCCAACGACAGGTGAAAGTACGCTTTTGCGTTTTGAGCACGATTAAAAGGCCTCTGTGCATCCACGTGTTTCGGGAGTCCATGCTCACGTCCGATGTCATCCCGTCATGTTCTACAGCGATATCGGACAGGATGCAGTGCGAACGCAATAAGCGATTACTATTCCGTGTCTCTGACGCAATATCGAGTTTCTTGTGATTTGAGACTCGTGACGGCTGCCATCATCAGCGTGGAAATAGTAAGAGCCGAGTGAAATTAATTCAAGCCAAAGTCCACGACCAGACATTACACAATCGGCATATTCGCAGATATCATGCTCCGTAGATCTACAGGAACAACGTGCGGCAATGTTTTGCTGAAGACTGCATGGGAATAGCAAGGATGGAACCCGAAATCCGCTTCGAAAACAGATTCTTTTGAAAAGCACGAAACACATCAACAGGGACGATACTCCTGAGGAATTTACACGACCAGCCGGGCTGAAAAACGAAGTTGAAGAAATGTACGAAATGAGTCATTCATTCATCCAGTCATTGTCACTTTGCCATCTGAGGGCCACGGCTGAGCCTCCTTATATCATGCGCCTCTTTCTTTCATACTTTTTTCCTGTCCCACCAGGAACATGTCGAGCTTGGTGGTGTCGCCACCGTGGGGTCGCCGTCCTGGATGAGCCCGTCCATACTCTGCCGCAACCCAACATAATTTTGCAAAAAAATCGCGCTTGACGTCGCCGCGTGCCCCTTTATGGAGCGTCAGCGGTGCTCAGGGGCCATAACGCAGTCGAAATTAGAACCGGTTTTTTTTGCTCGGGAACCGCAAATCCTTAAGCATGCCCGAGGTGGTGCGTATGGGATTTGAAGTCAGATCGCCGATGCGACCCCCACAGACCATCATGCGATTGCGTCCGCCACACACCCGCACTTATTAGATCCCTGATGCGACGCCCGCAGACCATCATGCGATTACGTCCGCCACACACCCGCACTTATTGGATCCCTGATGCGACGCCCACAGACCATCATGTCATTACGTCCGCCACACACCCGCACTTATTAGTTCCCTGATGCGACGCCCACAGACCATCATGCCATTACGTCCGCCACACACCCGCACTTATTAGATCCTTGATGCGACGCCCACAGACCATCATGCTATTACGTCCGCCTCACACCCGCACTTATTAGATCCCTGATGCGACGCCCCGCAGACCATCATGCCATTACGTCCGCCACACACCCGCACTTATAAGATCCCTGATGTGGCGCCCGCAGACCATCATGCCATTACGTCCGCCACACACCCGCACTTATTAGATCCCTGATGTGACGCCCACAGACCATCATGCGATTACGTCCGCCACACACCCGTACTTATTAGATCCCTGATGCGACGCCCGCAGACCATCATGCCATTACGTCCGCCACACACCCGCACTTATTAGATCCCTGATGCGACGCCCGCAGACCATCATGCCATTACGTCCGCCACACACCCGCACTTATTAGATCCCTGATGCGACGCCCACAGACCATCATGAGATTACGTCCGCCACACACTTTTTATACCAAACTAAACCCGTTGTGCGCGGTTCCTAGGGCCTGACCTGTATCTCCCATCCACAGTACGCTGTGCTCGTAAGTCATAGCCGACGAGCTGGGATTCCTGGCACATCCTGTCTCGCTGAAAATCCCATATAAATGTGAAGCAATCCCTTTAGAGCAAGCAGAACGCCATGTGTAAATAGGAGCTATGACCGACTCGAATGCCCTTTTGGTTCATTTCGTGGATCAAGATAGCAATAGACAGCAATAGCCTCATCGATCAAGATAGCAAAAAAGATAGCAATTTTTCGAATGCCTTTCAGGTATACTTGAAACTGAAAACGATAGATGCGCTCCATTCGCCACCTCATGTGCGTCGTGGGCACAAGAGCCGCTGGCGAGATCGGAATAGAGCGAGAACCTCCAGTCGTGAGCTGCGGTCATTTAAATAATTTAACTGATCTTAGTGACAGTTTGGCTTACGGTTTATAGTTCTTCGTCCCAGGTTGGCAAGGGCGCTGCTACATTTGAACTGCACACTCTGGGTTACCAGCTGGTTGGAAGTCGTTGCTGGTAACATAAGTGAAATACGAGAGCAGTGTGCGAAACGTGGCAATTGATTTTTTCACGCAGGGTACGAAAGCACTGCCACTGAACTAAGACAAGTCTTGTCTTCTGTGTCTCAAGTTCCGTCTTTCCGATTTGTCATCGAACCCGGCTGCAATTCAGCCGTCTCGTATTGTTGATGGTTGTGAAAAGAACTGACCAGGGCCAACCGCTTTCATAAACGGTGTGGAGGATTAACGCACCGCACAGAGTATGCAGATACGCTCTGTGAGGAGGTGGCCTGGTTCTGTGAGGAAGAAGGCATCAGGGACGCGGCGGTGCGCTGCCAGCTGAAGTGCCGGACAAGCGGCGCAAAGCGTCCCAGGCGCTGTCCTCACTACCCCGGCAAGCTGGCCGTATTTTTCTCGGATGCGACCAATGGCTAGCCGGGATTTGCGCCGTCCTCACTACCCCGGCAAGCTGGCCGTATTTTTCTCGAATGCGACCGATGGCTAGCCGGGATTTGCGCCGTCCTCACTACCCCGGCAAGCTGGCCGCATTTTTCTCGGATGCGACCAATGGCTAGCCGGGATTTGCGCCGTCCTCACTACCCCGGCAAGCTGGCCATATTTTTCTCGGATGCGACCAATGGCGAGCCGGGATTTCGTCCAGGCGGGGGAGGGAGTGGAATCGGGCGGTCTCGTAGCCAGTGGGGTGGGGAGGCCCTCTGGTTAGAATATGCGTCGCTTGGCTTATAGAATGGCAGGATTTGAATGAAGCTGCTATGATGTCATGAGTGCCAAGTTGACTGAAGTACTTTCCTCCCCGATAAACCTTTCCCCGTTTTCGCGGGCGTGTAGCTCAGAAAATAGAGGGGCTTAGGACTAAAGAAGCACAGGATTGTGCACAGCACAGTAAGGCTTTAAAGATGGCTATTTCGATTCAAAACCCCATTTAAATGTGGAACACTTCATTTCGGTCTCCTTTGCGAAGTGAATTGGCTTCCTCGTGTTTTTTCCCGTTCCATAAGTCGCCACGTACGTCTTATGAACTAACCTGGAGTGTGGTAAGGATCAGCACAGTCTAGGTCAGCCTTACATGGGCTCAAAAGATCTGGGTTGAGTGGATAGGATGATAAACCCGTGGGAGACTCAAAGCCTCCCTGGAAGTGTACTTCCTCCATAGTCCAGACGTCGCACCGCTACCCCATCTGCGGAAACGCACGCTGGCAGTTATTGCCGCTCGTAGCTCTCGGAGGGGTTGAGATGAGATTTCAGTCGCTGATGAAAGAATTGTTCGGACTATCGTTCTTGCATGGTGTTATCTTGTGTACGCAACGTTCCGAACCGTTAACCCTCCGTCTGTAGTCAGGTGTTATGGAACCTTGGGAAGACTGCGCCATGACTGTCTTTCTGCCACCTACGTGTCATATCCCGAATTATCACCTTGGCAATGTTCGAATTCGAACCATTTATTTATTTTAGGCCATTTATTCCCAGGCCATTTATTCCGAGTTCGGTGCTTTACCAACTGAGGCAGTTCTTCCCGGTTAGGTGCGAGGGCTGACATGTTAAAAAGATTTAGAGGGGGTGTTCGACATTTGTGTGGTGTTTTGAACTGAAATGGCCACCTTGAAGATCATTCAGAGCAGTTCACGGCCATGCCCTTCTTAAGACCTAAACTCCTCTTCTCTCTGAGCCACACGCCCGCGAAGATGTTCAGACAATTTCGGGGAGAATAATTCAAGGTCACCCAGGTACACGTGAGGCCAAATAGCGTCATGCAAATTCCTCTATTTCTTGGCCATGCGGCGATCGAGGCCAAACAAAATATATTTGTCGAATCGTTCACATCTGGTGTTTGTGAGCACCATTTCCAGATATAACGGCCGTCAATTAGGTCTCAATCAATGTTGTGCACGGTACGGTGACGTAATTAAACAACGACGTATTGATGAACATGCTGACTCAATGTAGACAAATTGGGTTTTTTATTGAAGCCTTTCACACTTTAATGAGTTTTAAGTTATAAGTGAGCTTTTTTCATTACATCTGAGGCTTGCTTCAATAGCTTGAAATGTAAAACATTATCTTTAATTAACCGAAGCTTTGTTTACGCATTAAGGCACCAGACGAGGGCGGTAGTCCCAACAACTGTGCGATCCTTTATTGTCGCTCGTTTGCGATGCTACGAAATCTCGCCATATTAATGGGACGAGAAAAAAGCAAATCTCTTGTTGGTGAAGGAACAAAAAGCACTAAATTTGCATGCATGCATGTCTGCTTATTTGGGACACTTTTCTGGTACGATAGGACTATGTTTTAGAACAAGGGACATTCAGACGCCAGGAAGCCCTTTATCGCGATGGCAAGGGCACCTCTGGGTCTAAAGGCTGGAGAGGCCCCATTCACGCACAGGATGCAGTCCAGCAGAGACCCATTTTACACGTCGACGGAGGGCTGCCTGTACAGGTCGACAGACATCTCTTGCAGGTCGGCAGGGGCATCTTTATCGGCAAGCAGGGCTCCTTGAATGAACATTTAGGGGCCCTCACCAGCCTATAGGAAGCCCATTGGTTGTCTGTTAAGCCCCCTCCCTACCCCTACCGGATTATAAAGGTCCCTGGCCCCTGTTCGTCGACATGTTACCCTCTAGTGCGGCCCCTTTAGAAGTCGAGAGAAAGGCCGACAGGGGTCTTTCTAAGGGGCCCTTGCCTGTCTATAAGGATACTCCTGCCAGACTGATGGCTACCCCTTGCATATCAGCAGGGGCACGAGA